AAGTGAAAGGGTGACACAGCTATTTTTAATAAAACCCCAACTAGGTTAAAGTCACGAAGACAATTGTTACGTACAAAAATCCTTTGTTCTATTCAATAAGTCAACTCCGAGTGAAAAGGGTTGTTTGGGAGCAATCCTATTCTTGGCGCTAACAGTCGCGTCGCACTGAGCTCGGCAACCATTTCGAGCGTTCGCTGAAATAAAGCCTTATTTCTATTTATAGAGTGCCTTTCAACATCTGTTATTAGGTGGCGAGGCAGAATGCATTCAAATATCGATTTTCTTACTGGAAATATTCGATTCAAACTATCACTAAGTACACGGCAATTAGCTACGACTTCCATTCAATGCTTATGTTCCAAATTCAATTAGTTTTCACACCTACGTACATTAAAACATTATGGTTACAAATAAAAAAATTGCACTTTGCTGTTGACGGACATCACTCAGCTGTTCAGTAATATGATTGTCATGGACAACATTTACATTGACAGAAAGGAAGAAACGAAGAATAAATATATAATTATAAAAAAACACACTATGCCTGAGAAATAAAATTAACACTAAACCTATAAAAACTATATTTACACTAAATACAACTAAAAATACGGAACGTTTCACTAAGGGCGAGTTTTAAATATTTAAATTTAATTAGTCAGAAATTCTATTTAATAAACGAAGAGATAATTAGTAGGAGTGAGATGGAAACATTTTAGTCACATACTTCTTATCCCTATCGTCATACACACACATACACACGACACTTTTGTGTATGGCATACACATGTTTAAATTTGTCAGCACAACGGTTTCATTAGGGACTACCTAGTGGGCCTAGAGACTAGGAAATTTCTGGTGCGGAGTTTAGAAGCGGAAGGTTTTATATAATTTAATTTAGTTTCGTTGAAGCCCGGCAATCCTTTCGGAAACAGCGTGGAACTAAGCGCATTACCATCCTCCTTTGAGATAGCAGAGTTCTTGCTAAGAATGGGACGTATCGAGTTAAAAAAAATTTTTTATTTATTTAAAAAAATATCATGTTTTATCGCTGTTGATAACTTAAATGATTAAATACTAAATACTGTCTATAGTTTACGCGAGTAGTACACATTTAAATAAAACACTTTAACGGTTTAAAACGCGATATATTAGTTAAACTTATTTGAAAGTCTCCCCGTGACCACGGCTGCTGCAAAGCATCCGAAACGTCAGGCCGAAGTTAAAAACATTTTCAAATAAGTTTAACTCATATGTCTCGTTTGAAACCGTTAAAGTGTTTTATTTAAAAACTTAAATAATTTCTCGTAATTAATGTCTTATTATAAACCTGGAGATCTCTGTTGACGTTCTTAAACAACCTTCAAACACCAACTTGCGATCAATTCGTTACTAATATATTTGTTACGTATTTGTATTCATAGAATTAAAATAAAGGGACAGTGGAAACGAGTGACAGACACTTTATATTGTGACTAGGTAAAAGGGAAATGAAGCTATAAGAACAGTCATAAAACATGTAACGCCATTCGCCGCCGGTGACCCATTTGGCATGTAAATGGCACGAGACGAAATATGGCACAGGTTTCATACGTCATCTGTAAGGAAAAACTCAAAGCACAAAATTTACCACCTGAAAGCTGAATTTCAGAACTTTTCTCTAAATACTCAACACATCAATGCTTAGTAGCAACAAATAATGAAGTAGAATAACTGTACATATTAAATAAATCGTTTTTAACGGTTTAAAACATAAAATATTGACACATTATGTATTGGAGGACTCCGTGAACAATGTGAAAGATCCAAAAGTCCAGTTATAATTAATAATAAACAAACTAGTATAATTATCGTTTTGAACCGTCAAATATGTTTACTGTGTACCACTCTCTTGTACACTTGGATAACAGACGATAACTATTTGTAGCTATCAAAAGACATAGATAGACATTTTCTTGTTCTTGTTAATAAACGAATTTATTAAAAATAAAAAGACAGGAAAAGTCGTCGCTTACGCCTTTCAAGTATTAAAAAAATATTATGTTATAAATTATGCCGAAGTTGGGATAAAAAAAACAAATATTGATATGGGAACACTGTATTTAGTGCATTTTATTTAATTACAATTACTATTAAATGTTTCAACGTCAGCTGTGATATTAAGAGAGGATCAGATCGAGTTATGTTCAAGTTACAGTCATTCAGTACAAAGTCATGCTTATTACAAATGTCAATTAACATAACAGCTGATGCTGTAAACATGGCAACACTGACACGAATCGTATAACAATCAATTGAAAATTAATTACATTAACTACTCATTATAAATTGTGTATATATCACATATAGATTAAGTTACATTTTAGCTTTGATACCATTTCTTCTCTACTCTATCTAAAACGTATATCTAAAATGTAATATTATTGTGAAGTGTAATAAATTGTATTTAAAAAACATCGCCATACAATAAACGAATAATAAAACCATAGAGTTAATACAAAATAGAATCGTCATAAAAACAAATATTTAAAGATTAATCGAAGTCATTACAAATTCAAAATTCTCACCTAAACAAATATTTAAAACGACGACGTACAATACTGATATGACACTTCAAAGATTCGTATATGTAATGTATTGTCTTTCATTTTATTAAATTACACGCTAATCTAAACTATCTATCTATTTTAAGCTGGTTATTAGCTAAGTTATTGTTCAATTAAAAAAAAAATTTAACATGACGTCATAAATAATTCGCGAACGAAACTTAATTTTGTACAAACGTGAATACAAACGAAATGTATTTAATTTATAAATAAAGGATTGTAGTTAAAGATTCATCAACTAATACAGTTCTCGCCTGTTACAAGTACTTAAATTGTCAACATCGTGCTTAATTAAATGTATGTTAGCGCAAAACATAGTCTACATATTTTAATAAGAGTCATAGAGCAAAATCAGTAGGCACGAAATCTTAGGCGTATTAATTATTAATTAAAGCCTATTTCTAATATTCAGTCACATTTACATATAGCAATTTCATGTGCCGAAATTGAACACTTCGAATTTAAGGTTGTATATTTCGACACCTTGATTGATACAGAATAAATCGATTCTCAATTTTTGTTATTCTATTGTATCTATAATTTCTGCCAAACTATGGTTACAAGCTTTTATTTTTGAGATAATTTCTTTGAAACGAGTTTATTGGTAGGGTTGAAAGCTCGTTGGTCTAACGTATGATCAATGAGACGTAGCAGTTACATCCCCACCAGGTCTAACATTTTTCTAATTTTTTCATTTATAATTCTTCTGAAACACGCTGGACTTTGTCTGGAAATCTGAGTATTAATGTTGATAGGAATATAGAAATTCCGTCAGGGTCACGAACCACCGTCCATAGATGAAAAAGCCGTGAAGCTTAATCGCGTTCCGGTTTAAGTCTGTGGGTTTCCTACCATACAGAGCCAAAAGTCGACAACACATCTTGTTTAGATGCTATAGGCTGGGGTATGTCACCTACCATCAAGTGAACTCTATGCCTGTCTGTCATTAACGTTGGCTGCTAGTAGCTATACTTTAGCGTAGTTGCTGTCAGTTTACACAGTCAGTAAGCACATACGTTGAAGTCCAAAATTGTAATAAAGCTTGTTTTCTTATATGCTTGACACAACAATATTTAATTAAATAGGGATTCTAATAAATACATTGTGATTATTATTTCCTATAACCGTCTTACTCGTTGACCGTCATCTCTTCAAAGACCTTCACTTGAGTCCCACTTTTGTAACTGCTTGGACCTAATTTATAAATTCATTATTGAAATTATGACTATGTTCGAATTCTAGAAAACAAATAGAGCTCTATATTTAGATTCAACACATACGTGTTAAGTAAAACATGGTTACCTATAAGGCTTTATTTAACTCCTACTTTGATCTGAAACAAAGAGCAAAATATTATAATTTAAAAAAAATCATTTTCAATTTTCTTATATTAAGTAATTCTAAAGAGCTTGACGTGATTTTAACGAGTTTGTGTCGATTCGAATTTCAAACAAAATTTCAAGTGATAAATCAATAATGACAGATAGTCAAGAGGGGTTTGAAGATATTGTACAAAATTATTCGGGATTTCGTTTTAAATTTATTTTGTTACAAAAGAAATTATAATGGGCAGATTTTGTGTACGATTAACCGTTTTCCTATAATTCGTATTCGTTGACAAAGAGTACTTTTTAGAATGTCAACGAATATATAAAAATAAAGTGACAACTCTAAACTTAAGAATTTCTGAAGAAATAAAAGAGTGTTATATTAGTCAGAACTTACTAAGACGCCGTCGGTCTATCTGTCACCAGTCTGGTTCTAAAGAGCGCGATATCTAGAGAGTTAAAAAATTCTCAATAATTATTTTCAAAATAAAATATTCAAGGAGATATAAATAGTTAATTGCATAATTTTAATAAACAAAAACGGTTAGAATATAAAATCAGTTAATATTTGAATAAAACCCTTCTAACGGTTTAAACGCGAATAACAGGACTCAAACATCCGACACATTAACTGTACTTAAAATTAATTAAATGTAAGTTAACTATTACAGTTCGCGTTTTAAACGATTGAAAGTATTTTATTTAAATGTGAATTACTCGTCTAATTTACAAACCCGTGGTTACGGAGAGTGGTTCACATATTTTAGCTTTTAAACCGTTAAAAGTATTTAAAGTTATCTTACGTACGTATGTTATGTATAAAACAATAATAAAGAAAGACAAACTAATTTTAATTTCTAACCATTTTTATTATGTTTGAAAATATGCAATTAAGTTATTATATCTCCTTGAATATTTATTGTAATTTGAAAATGCAAGATTAGTAAAAATTTTCAATTGCCTAGACCGCGCTATTTTTGACAATGAAACGATGTCAGACGGTCGGTTTATTTAAATATGTAAACTACAGAAAATTATTAACTATTAAATATACTTACATTTCACGTATATTACACGACATGAATAGGACACCCGTCTTTGTTCCTATCAGTGTCAATCGGCGGTGATATAACAACGTACGTATCTCTCTCGCGCTGACACGCTTCGTCACCAGCGAACAACGGCGGGGGCGGTATAACATCGCTGTCAACATCTTCCTGAGTCACCTCCTGCCTCTTCCTGCCCGGCATATAGTTCATGATACACGTGACAGCGATCAGGAATAGAAAGAACACGAATACAACGTCAAACATGATGAGGAAGTTGACCATTACAATCTGCATCACGCCAAGACATCACACCTGTGCCGTTCAGTCAATTTCAGGACATGGTATGGATGTCGGGGTGTGGTATTTTCTTGTTCTGGAACAAATAATGAGCAAACTATGAAATTGTTTTATCAAAGTTCTTGGTTTAAAAATTTATCGAGAATGAGAAAGAACATAGTGCACTTCAATTACGTGAAGACTGTCAAATAAAACTTGGCGATAGTTGTAGTGTTAGTTAGAAAATTTATCGAGAAAGGCTTTAAAACATCGCACTGGCGCGAAGGAACAGCGGGAAATGTAATTAACATAAGAAAATTATTCATTTTTGAGGACTTCGGATGGATGCGCTGCGATAATGATTCAAGAAACGAGAAGAGATGTATGAAAGAAAGATTCTTCCATAAATTATCTATAAAAATGTCCGCGATAGTATAACTCTCTTATTTAAGATTAACTCTCAAGAGCGACGGGACGCGGATGACTTCGCAAAACAGTTTACTAATAAAAGGCAAAAAATGTCTGCTAGGTAATTTCTTTTTATACTTGAACACAGAAAGGACACTTGTTGCTAAAAAATGGAGTAGATTATTAATGTTGATTTCCTTTTTCTCTTCTACAAAGAAAAATTGTGACATTTCTTTGAATTGTCTAAATAACCTGCAGTCCGGTCTTGCTCTGTTATGTATATCACTTTTAGACTTTGTTTTTTTTTCTAAATATACAGAATAATTCAAAAGTAAATTATAATGTTTAAGGCACACATTTACACAAGGAATACATTTAGCTTATTAGGTTATTAGATAGAGTATTTTACAAGCTTAATATAGCTGATAAAGGCACATATGCAGGTACGAATTATATTAAAAACTATATTACTCTTTTATATCTTAGCACCGTTTTTGTATCTGTTACAACCCCCATTTTCTTCCAATCGCTGGGACTCTTGCCTTATATGTAATCCTACTATGATGATAAAAATGACATTTGCAGATGACAGATAAATATCTAAAGTTGACAAAAAGACAAAATCGACAAAAAGGTCGAGAGTGCATCTTGTTTAGATTTCATGAACAAAAGACGAATGCACCTAATGCGGTTCTGTTATAGCCTAACTATTAAGTTATGGAAAATTATCATCAACAAATGAATAGCGACTCAAATAAGTGAGGGTTGACAGTTCAAAGCGAATGTTTGTCACACAAATTAAACTTTGAGGGGACCGTTTGTCATTCTCTAAATAATTCCTTTTGAAATTCAAACTATATAAGCGGGGTTAATATTTTTATATATAATCTTGTCAAAGTTATTCCTGTCAACAAAGTTACGGATAAGCATGAAGGTAAACATACCGTCATCATATAATATTTTAAGGGTCTCGTTGAGTATTGGTAGCAATGTATGTCCAACAATCAATGGGTCGTGGGTTTGAGCCCCAGTGGGTCCATATTTCACACTTCGGTACACACAAGACATAGATACACAAATTTATAATTGTAAAGTGCACGAAGCGGCCTCATCGCTTTAAGCGACCTCTTCCAGGCAACCCTAGTAGATAGAAACCTTTAAATAAAACTTTAACGGTTTAAAACGCGATATATATATCCGCATATATATTGTTTTGCACCAGTACGGGGATATTGCTGCTGTATTAGTTTAATATGAATCGCGTTTGAAACTTGTGCGAAACTTACTAACTACTTAATAATAATAACTCATCAAATAATAATTGGGGACAGGAAAGTTCAATTATAACAAAGCATTGGGCCAAGTAGTAAAACAACAACTCGTAATATATACTCGTAACGTTGTGTCAAAAATACACGTCCTCTATTTTCGTTTGGCCTTACGATAGCGATACGGCTTCATTTCGATACCCTTTGTGCTATTCTTTGTACGAGGAAACAGAAGGCAAATTCCAGAACCCTCCAATTGACATTGCCCTGTTTTCGCTGACGATGCTTAGGAAGTATGAGGGTGAACGTAATCTCAATATTACACACGTAACTTGTCCTTTTCATTCGCACTGTTGACGTTGTATTACTTGGCTTTAATAAAACACTTTTAAGGGCCTAAGTTGAAATAAATTATAAAAAAATTAACTAACATATTATATTATTTGAAAACCTGAATATTTTGCACATGATGACACTTTTTTTAAATCTAAAATCGATTTTTCATTTGTATATTTCGGCTTTGAACCGTTAAAAAGTGTTTTATTTAAATGTGCACTTGCGTAAACTACTGACAATACATAACTTGGCTTGAAAAGGTTTTTTTTATAGCAGCACATTTTGTTTGTATATGTTTAAGTGTATTATGGACAGTCACAGGGTTTCCCTTCATGTAATGTTTAATTAAAATGAGCTGTGGGCCTATTTTTCTTGGGCCTACTGTTATTTGTAAATATAATACGGAAAAACAGATGAAAAATAAATTCAAGTCAAGTGCAAAGTTGGAATTTCGAGTAAAATACAGAATTTTGACTAGGACACACAAGTGTTTATTGTATTTTTTTCTTACTAGCAAGTTGTTACGACTTCTTGCGAAATTGCGAAAACCTGCGAAATTGCTTTATGTTCGGGAGCTCACTTAACTTGTTTAAATTTTATGATATATGGTTTATCGAGGTTTCTAAAATATTTTCTTTATTGATATAAGGTGAAAATCGCGCTGCCTAATAGTCCGTATTAATATCTGGTATATAACGGCAACAAAGGCTGTTGCAGCATTTCAGTTCGCAGGCTTTCTATATTTCCGCTGCCTCTGTAGCAAAATTGAACGGTCTGCTTAGCTTTGCGTTAAGCGCGAGAGGTTCTGGGTTCGACTCCCGGAGAAAAAAGTTAATTGTTTTCTTCGGTTACAGAAATCTGATCAACGATTTGCCTGTGAGTAACATCGATCAGGGAAACGGACACAGAAATGTGTTCACGCCACGAGGGGGAAACGGGATTTGCCACATACTCTACTCCTTATGTTAATTGACGTTATACTACAAATAAGAACAGCGAATTTTCAACTCTCTAGCTATGGCTAATACAGCGTTTTTTTATTATAAATATTTCGCTACGGTTCGTAAATTTATAAAGATTTAAAAAGTCCGCGTATCTCTTTGCAATTAAATTACAATTGTCTTGTAATTGCCGATATTAGCTATTAATTTTATCAGTTAGATATTTTATCAGTACAATTAGTTTTTGATTATAAGAGATTGAAAGTTATATTGATAAAAAAAAGATAGATCACGGGCGGGACTTGAACCGTCATCTACAGCGTTCCGTGCTGCTAATATAATCAATTGTGCTACCCTGTTCTACTAGTATTTGAGTAGAGTGTCGTAATTTTTTTAAATAGGCAAAGTTAAAATACACAATGACAGTGTTGTTTGGCATCTCAGCCAGATTGCCTGTGTCAGTGCACTATATATTCTTTCAATAGTATTAAAGGTTCCGTATAAAATTTTTACAAAAAGTTTGTAATCAAAATATCTTATCATTCTTTCTTGTCTTAATTCGGGTCGTATATATGCTACTGATTTGTGTTGTTACACGGACGTTGCAAAAAGTTGTTATTAAGGTATGTATATACACTTAACTAAATGTTGTTGAAGAAACATATCAGAATGTACAACTATTGTGTTGCATACGATAGCTCTATAGAAATTGAAAAATCTTTTAAGACTCGAATAAGTGAAACAGGCGCAACTCGATTCCGCGACTATTCCGCGACGCGATGCTTATGTTTTCTGATTAAAAAACTTTAACGGTTTCAAACGCGAAATATTGTAGTTAAACTTATTAAATAATTATTTTTAACTACAGCCCGATGTTTCGGACGCTTTGTAGCAGCCGTGGTCACGTAATAGTGAATAACTTTTTAAAAAGTTTAACTCATTTATTTCGCGTTTTAAACCGTTTAAGTGTTTAATTAAATGTGTGTTACTAGGACCCGCCTAAACTAGAGACAGTACATATTTCAATTGTTCTGTGTTAAATTATTTGATTTTCCAGGTGTTAGCAGAAAACTAAGTATGAAGTTGTTTCTAATAATTATAAGTGTTTGCATTGTTGTGGCCAAACGTTCATTTGACATTGAGAGACAAGTAACAAATTACCATGGTGAAGTTGGTATACCAGAAGCTGCTCGAATCAGAACAGCTGAAGCAGTTATGGTCTCGTCTGCGTCCACGTTTGTTTATGGCTCAGATAAATATCCATACATGGTACGTATGTTTGATAACTTAAACAAGATTAAAGGTTAATATATACTCAAAACACTGCTAGATAACAAGGTAATTTTTGTGACAAAAATATTTTGTGTCATATACATACATACAGATATTTAAGTACCATATCTATTGAACTATTACCCCTTACTGGCGTCTCTCTGACTCATCTACAAAGCTGAAGAGTTTGTTTGTTTGATTGTATGTTTGAACACGCTAATCTCAGGAACTACTGGTTCGACTTGAATTATATTTTTGTGTGTTTGAATTATATTTATCGAGGAAAGCTTTAAATCAATAAGAGTAAAGAAACAGTGGGAAATGTGGAACAAACGTCAAAAATTGTTAATCTTTGAGAGTTTCCGTTGCGAAATAAATGGTTGAAGATACCCAAAAGTATGTATAAGAGAATGATTTCTCTTTAAAGATTAACTAATTAAAAAGATGGGGACGAAGTTCGCTAAAACAAAATTTGGCGCCAAATCCTACGCGGAAGAAGACTCTGGAAAATCTAGTTTATTTATATGAATTCTCTATTTATATTCTGAATTCAATTTTAGCTGTAATTCCATTTATTTGTCTACTGTTTTTTTATTAACTTAAAAAATTATAGGCAGGTCTAATCATCGCCCTAACCACGGGAGAAGAGTCGGTTTGCGCGTCCAGTGTCATCACCAACACTAGGGTGTTAACTGCAGCGCACTGCTGGCGGACCCAGCAGCATGAAGCTTCCAAAATTACTGTTGTACTTGGTTCTACATTTGTCTTCCATGGCGGGCTTCGTATTGATACATCTAATGTGATCATACCTAATAGTTATAAAGAAGAGTATCTACAAAACGACATCGCTATTCTTGTTTTCGACCGCGTTGAGTTTAATGGTATGGTATTTATGGTATTATCTTAGCATTTTTACTAGTTTATACGTGTGGTACACATTAAACAACATACGGCACTTTGAACGGTTTAAACTAAATATATTTTGCGTTTTGAATCGTGAAAGGTTATCTATACTAATATTATAAATCTAAAAAGTTTGTTTATTTGAACGCGCTAATCTCAGGAACTAATGGTTCGAATTGAAAAAATCATTAGGCTACAAACCTTTACGCTGCGTCCAATAAGAGCGAAGAAAGAGCGGGAAATATCTGGGAAAATTATTCATCTTTGAGGGATTCTATTGCATGGGCCGCGAAATTGGTACAAGAAACCAAAAAAAATGTATGATAGAATGATTCCTACTTTAATTATCCAAAAATGATCTTTCAAGATTAATTAAATTAAGTCCGGGTCTACAGCTATTATTTATAATGCTGAGGTTGTTTGCAAAAATAAATTCTGATGCCCAAATTCACACAGCTTGTATTAAGAATAACTTGCCCCAGACTTCCGTTTGTGAAGGCTTAGGTTCAAAATTCTAATTTATATATTTGTGTATTTATTGCATTTTTACTTTCATGAATTATGCTTTCTTGTCGTTGATTTTTGAGAAATAGTTAAAATGCTTAGATGTAAGCTTTTATTTTCAGACTACATTAAGCCTATTGCTTTGTATAGAGGTGAAGAATTTGAGGTCAATAAAGACCAAACAGTTACGATATTAGGATATGGAAGGGCTGGATTATGTAAGTAGCTACTATGCATAAAATATAATTAGTCTACAGTTAAAGCATGTAGTAGTATGTGAATTAACTTCTTTGATTTTAGCTGGCACGACAACCAACCAGAGCTTGAGGCATATAGAGGTTCAAGTTATTACCAGAAACCAATGCTATTTTGTGTTTGGTGAATGGCCTATCTCTGCATCTCATATTTGTGCTAGGAAGAACCCTACCTCTTGCACAGGCGATACTGGTGGACCTCTTATCGTAAACAATCTATTGGTCAGTAATTACTAAAACACATAGAGGTTTTTTTCTCACCTTATAAAATGTTATAATTGGGTCTCTTTGGTTTAAAAACGGTCATATTTGTTGTGGTCTATTTTATCAAGTTAGATTAAGTACATTATTTAAGAGACGAGTAAGTAAGTAACTGAAATGTTTCACCAGGTCGGCATTTCATCTTTTACTGCTCCTGACGGCTGCGAACGGGGCATTGCAGCTGCCTATGTCAGGATGGAGTACTGGTTCACGTGGGTCACATTATTAACTACGTAATTCCTCTCCTTATACAGTAAAGATTGAAATAAAATTATTTCATATTGTGACATTTTTCTTTTCATATTGTGATTTTTTGGATTGTTGCATTATTAATTAGTTGATTGGTTTACTATTTTATTTTGATATATCTTTTGATAATGATAAAAAGAAGAATGTTCTAGATTTGCTACTTTTTCGTTTTAATGAAATTTCCTATAAAATACAATATGAAACACGTTTGTAATTACGTACGTATGTTACTAAATGATATATTTATTCATATATAGAAAGCTTACAGCTAGTACAAAAGGGTAGTTGACAAATTAGCTATCAGAAAGCCAATTAAGAGTTCTCGCTTTAAGATTTAAAACACTTGCGAACAAAACAACTACTAGTTATTAGTTTTTACGTCTATGTTTTGTTTCTTTTCAACACTTGAAGCAAAAAAGAAGATATTACACAAGTGATAAAATGGATTTGAATTAATCGCGCGAGTTTCTGGGTTCGTGGTCCGGTGAAGCCATACATTTTTGATGAGTTTCTGATATACTTCTTGCATGTACGAAAAATCGATTAGATAATTAGATACGATATGTGTTCCATATACTTAAAGTAAATTACATATAACAGGATTACACAGACTGTTATGAATTGGATATGAGTTCAGCGCCCTTTTCACTATCTCAAAGTTATGATTTTACAAGACGCGGAGTTCTGTTCGTTTCAAAATTGAAAGCTCGTGGATTATCTTAATAACACAAACAAACTGTTCATGAATATTTAACTGTCAAACTTCTGTTTAACGTAATAACGTTTCCGTGTTTGATTTTCACGTTATATTTTGTGCACACAACGTAAACAAAGAACTTTGTGCCTGAGAGAGCTTTTTTTGTATTGCAGCAGTAATAGAGACGAAGATGTACTGCGGAGAAATTCCTGTCTCTTTTTTTGGTTTTTTTTATCGCTCTATTACACAATTATCTTCTTCTCGAATGATCAATTCGAGAAAAAGATAATTGTCTATACTAAATTATGAAGCTGAAGAGTTTGTTTGAACATGAAAATCTAAAAAACAACTGGTGCGAATTAAAAAATGATGTCTGTGTTGGACTGAATATTGCGACCAATAGGAGCAAAGAAACAGTAGGAATATGTGTAAAAAACGTGGAAAATAATTCATCTTTGAGCGTTTTCGTTGCGCTGCAAAAACGGTTGATCAAACCAAATATGAAAGAATGTTTCTTTACATGAAAGAACGACGGGACACCTTAGACGTCGCGGTTAGACTCTATAAAATAATACAATTTATAAAAATGGCAAAAGGAGGTTGTTTGCAAAAATAATTTTTTATGTCACATTGGTTAGATGCGGTCACGGACACAGCTAGTACTATTTAGAAAATGACATATGACATACAGTACAATATTTTATTTTTGAAAATACAATATTTGTTTATTAACAATGAAAATATTATACATAGCAAACTAGATATTGTACCAACAGTAAAGGGAATGTTGTGATGAACGGACCATGTATTGATGATGAATAAATCCAAGACGCCTATAACAAATGATTAATTAAGATATGTATCATCCAAAAACAAAAGTAAACTTTTATAAAGATTTAAAGATTCGTAAGACTTATGTTAATATTAGGGTAGTTGAGTTTTTTAGATACGAAGCCCAAACGAAAATAGCGCGCGCTGTCAGTTTGTTTCACATGCCACTCGTGCGCGGTGGATGAGCGCTGTTTTTATTTTTATTTCTAAGTTATAACACCCGCGTGTTGCAAAGACTATTCGTTATACTTAGTTATAATAGTTTAGTTTCAGTTAGTGCAGTACATTCATAAAAGAGTATCTTTTCGTGAAATCAGTGTACTATGTGGTTGTTTTTATTATAATTATATGACTTCTTCTATATTTGCCTATATCCAATTGCGATATAGGCAGACACGCCACAACAATAGTGTATACAAGTCAGGAGTTAATCACTGGATTGAAGGTATGTACTTAAATCATTAAACCATACTATGCTGTCTATTAGTTAAACCTATTTGAAAATTATTTTTAACTTCGACCTGACGTTTCCAGTCTCAGTCTCTCCGTGACCACAGCTGCTGGAAGGCATCCGAATCGTTAAAGTGTTTTATTCAAATAAATACTATGCTTATTTGCCATTTTCTGTCTTTGTGATATTATTTCTACGTTATTACTATTTTCTTTATTATACAGCCTAGGACCTCCTAAACGTAGCCCAGACAAGGTTGCATGTAACAACTAAGTCACGGATATTATGACAATTTATAATACTAGCTCTGGGAGCGACATCTCCGCATAGAATAAATATTTCGAGCATCAAAATTTTACTGTAATAAAGCGAAAGCCTTTCTTGATAAATGATCTAACTGATATTCAAACTAGTCGTTATTGAGATCTCCGCGTACATACAAACAGATAAACTCTTCAGCTTGATAATATTAGTACAGATTAACTCACTCATAAATACTGGTTACACACAAAAGAAAAGAAGGAGAAGAAAAGAAGCGAAACAAAAATTAGGTAGATACAAAGTTATTAGATACTTAGGTAGTTTAACTATAATACAATAACGCCTAAACTCGATAAATCAAACCTAATCTTTGTTAAGTAATATAAGTTCTGTATTCCCTAATTGCCCCATTTGGGGATATAATGGAACAAAGAGCAGTATCTATTGTATACTGTCTATAGTTTACGCGAGTTGTACACATTTAAATAAAACACTTGAACGGTTTAAAACGCGACATATTAAACCGTTAAAGTGTTTTATTTCAAGTATCTATTATTTCACAGATATGGGCAAAGTGGTTAGCTAGAGGCTCTAGTCTTACGATGAAAGAGAAATTCGTGAAACAAGAAAATTTTATACCTGATAGTAGGTGAACACTATAGCCATGTTGTGGTATATTATAACGAAATAAATACATATATCACATAAAAACAAAATGCTCTCTAAAAATATTTTGGTTTTGCATTTTCGTCTAAACAAATAATATAGGCCGACAGCACATCTTGTGTAAATGTTATTTCAGTGGGGGTTTTCACCTTCCATCAACTGAACTCTATGCTCGTTTGTCCTCCTCAATCATAAAAAAATCAGAATATACCATAATTGTATAATGTGAAGCGATATGCTTATATAACTCGAACGTTTTAAAACAAATTGTAATTAAATTAAGAAAGTTTCTTTACATTGGAGTTAATGGATATTGGCGTTTTAGCAAGAAAGGCCGGCGAATTTCGCGAATAATTCAGAATTTCTCTGTGAAACGCCAGTAATATCCGTCCAAATCGTTCCACTAAAACAGCGGTAGCGACTCAAACGACTCTGTCGCCTGACTTTTATTGTGTCGATTTTCATCGCGTAAATGAGAAATGAGTGTAATGATATTTCAGAAATTAAAAGAGTTTGAGAAAAAAATCTGACACATGTGGGAAACTCACGATCAACAAGAACATTGAGGGAGACGGATAGAAATATCAATATTTGTTCTATCAAAAATAAATTTTAAATAGATATAAACTTTTAAATAACACTATTTTAAGGGTTTAAAACGAGAAATATATCATTAACTAAATAATAATAAACGTTTTTACATTTTTTTTAAATATGGCCCGACGTTACGGACGCTTTGCAGTAGCCGTGGTCACGGGGTGACTAAAAATGGAAGGTTATATTAAAAACTGTTACGTTAACGCCACTTGTTCCGTCGTAGTTGCTACTTCGCCACATGGAACTGGCCGGGTCCAGTAAAGATATAATCTTTCATTATTATTAACATGTAAACAATTCAAGATAACAAATAATCCAAGTTAACAAAGGCTTCACTCTATTACTACTTAAAGGCTTCTTAGAAGTGCATTTCCTTTACTAACAAACGCTTACTTCAAGTTTTGGATGTTGTTCAATAATTTCCTCCTAACTCTTGAATTCAGCCGGTACACAAACTTTATCTTCCACCTTCTCTTGTGACGTGGAGTCAAAATGTTCGAAACAGAAATCACACATAGAAAAAAATCTACATATTAGGGATTGTAGACAGGTATTTTTCGTACCGTTTAGTTTACAAGTTAAATTCTTATCACCTATAAAAAGGGAACATTAAGCATTGGACATATTTCTGTGTCGGTTTCGCTGTTCATTTTTAGCAAGCGGAGCAGAGTCGAGCTTTTGTGCCCTGCCCGACCGAAACTATTGTTTCATCGGAATACATTTGGGAAAACCTGTTGCGTTAAACACAGCGTTCGGCAACGCTGTGTTATAGATTCATGTACTCCTAAGTCCCGTCAATCTTTAAGAAAGTATTGCTTTATGTTCTACATCGATTTTGTAACTTATGATGAAATATATTAAAAGAGGCTAAGTTAATTAAGTCTAATACTTTGTCAATATCGTTAACATATTAATCCAAATTAGTATAGTAAATAACAAAAGTGTGTTTGTATAGAGCTAGATAGTAATGGGCTACGAGAATCTATACTAATATTATACAGCTGAAGAGTTTGTTCGTTTGAACGCGCTTATCTCAGGGACTGCTGGTTTGAATTGGAAAATTGTTTTTGTAGTAATTGGACCATTTAATTGAAAAGGTTTTAGGATATAAATCGTCTGACTGTAACCAATAAGAGCCAAGAAACAGAAGAAATTGTTTAAAAAACGAAGGAAAAAAATATACACTCTTTGTGGGTATCCGATTTGTGCGCTGCGAAAACGGCTCAAGATACCGAAAAATATGTTGACACAGAATTATTATATCTTTTTTATATGTCACGCAACATTATATGTCTACCTTTTAATATGAACTCACAAGAACCGTTTATATGGTAATCAAATTTCATTAAAATACTTCCTAGGGCAAAAGAACGGTTGACAGTTTAATGTAGTTTACGCGGTTTTAGTTTTCACGAGTAATTTTATTTTATTTTATTTTTATAATACACATTTAAATAAATCACTTTTAACAGTTCAAAACGCGAA